TGATTAGCAGCCTGGTCCTTTTGGAAGTGAGCAATGTGCTGTGGCAAGATGTCCCTAGCATTTTTTGTCCACCTTTTCATAATGTGCCACTTAGGTATTTCCTGCACGCCAATGTGGTCCATCACCTGAGTAAACAAGGAAAACAAGTGAGTCCCCACGGATGTCACGAAGACACACTTGTCACCATATATCATGTAAGTTAGCGGCGAGCAGAAATAACCTTCAAGGTATGGCAGCATAGCAACCCCATGTGTGCAAACTGCCCGCATTTGCAATCAAACCAATCCCCATCGGCAGATATGGTCACCACATATTCTAGCTTGCTCCACCTCTCTCTTTTTTTAGCGTCACTGTGCCTTGCAATATATATTTTCTTCTTCTCCACTTCCTCAATTTGGTATGATCCACCCTCGAAGAGATTATCACCAAATAATTCAAACATCTTTCTTGTGTAAACCTTACTCACGTGCCTCTCGATAGCAATGTTTGTCCTCATTACAGCGCCACTCTGCCGAAAGGAGCACAACAAAAATAGATGATTAGTATTTTCCATATGGAATAGAATCACACATACTTCAAGCACAAGTAAATCTAGCTTACAATCCTTGTTCTTTTTTCCTGGTAGCTCTCATCTGATTCACGGTCGAATTGAAGCATCATGTACTGGCGCACGAATACATGCATTGGGCTAGCTGGTGGCATGTAAATCTTCAACATGTTGTTGGCGCTCTCGCTACGCTGTGTGCTGGTCATTTTCACACAGAAGACTCCTCTGAAGTATGGCTTCGCCCACTTGTGCCGTATCTCGTACAGGTTTGTCATGTAATTGTGGGATTTCAGATTGTATTTCTCAACTAATGAAGCCCATGCCGTCTCAAATTCCTCCTCACTTATCATGTGATTCTTAACTTTATGGAATTTAGCCCTAAACTCGCTCTTGCTTGTGTACAGTGGGCCAAGGCTTTCTTTTGCTTTCTTGAGAACGTGCCACTTGCACCACCTATGGACGGTATTAGGGAGCTCGCTTCCGATTGCTATCTCCATGGCTCTTGCTTGGTCTGCAATATGGACAACAGAGTAAAACTGGGTCAAATATGTGCAATTATGTAGTAGTAGACAAGTACATATGCATCGGTCTGTTTTTAGCTTCGCACAAACCTGTCAATATTGTCTGGGGGTGTTTTCCGCCCATCATGTTGATGAACTAAGAAAAAACCCACCAGAAGCTCTCTACTTGTCCATCACGCATCAGCACTCCAGCAAGAATTATGCACTGAAAGTGGTTGTTCACTCCAACAAACAAACCAAACGGCAAGTCATACAAGTTTGTCTGATACGTCATATCAAATGTGACAACATCGCCAAAGAACTTGTACTGCAACTTGCTGTTCCCATTCATCCACATAAGGTTTTTGATTCTGCTTTCCTCATCGCCCTGGACCTGTATGTGAATTCTGGGTCATTCCGCTGAATTTCTTTGAATACGGCAAGGGTTTTTTGTTCACATCATCATCAGCTTGGTCTCGGCTTATTCTCCCGCATAGATTGCGCAATGACCTTTTTGTAAAAGGAACGCTCTGTGACTACCCGAAGAAGCTGCCAACTGTGCTATACACCTTGTTGAGGTTCACATTGTTTGCCCTGAGCTGTTTCACCAAATCCTTTGTGTACACATCTATGTGTTTGTGGGATGGCCAGTGCACTTTTTCTCCGCACGTAAGCGACAAGGAATGATTGTGACTCGGCTGGTGCTCAGCAATGTGCCATCCACTGTCAGTAGCTCTTAGTAATCTGACCATCACAGGGCACTCGCAACGGCAAGACCTGCTATTCTGCTGCTCTGGTTTCCCCTGCAAACAATTTTCCAGTAGTCAGAGATTAACATATGAAAATACAGGGGCTGTGACTATCCCCAAAATATTTTTTTTTGTGATTTTCAAGGTGCTAACCGAGCATCCACAAAAAAATTCTTGCATACATTTAGTCCTCTCAACATTCAAACGACTCTTGCCGCATCGTATACCAAATCAAAGCTCCCATGAATATAGATTATAAAAATCGTATGCTTCTCCAAGGGAATCAAAACTCATCCCAATCTTTGGCCTTACTAGAATTTCTGAAGGTTTGTCAGCATATCTCCGTATGGTTTCTTCCAAAGGAGTTACCCTCCTAGCACATGGCACTCTATCCGGGGGAGCGCGCCCAACTCGAAGCCAATCTTAAGGTTCACCAATCTTAAGGTTCACCAATATTTGAGGGACGCTCACTTTTCAGTTCACCAATCTTATGGTTTAATCTCAGGAGGATATGACTAGTGTGACTATAAATCTAACTTTGTTTTGTTTTCATGACACTAGCTGTCACAATTTGTTTTACTATAATTTGCACACCTCTACCAAATTGTGCGCTTTAAAAAAGATCAATGAATCAGATATTTACCTCCTGGTCCACCCCGGTGCCTCGGGGTTAACTTTCAGTGGATTCAGCAGATTTTGCTGGTGACAGCGGCCTCTTGCCCGCGGACCTGTTAGGATGAGATGAAGCGCCGATGTGACCAACTACAATCGCGCAAGATGAGTCGCCAGTTGCCGGCGCCGACCGTGGGACGTCCATCAGCACCAGTGGATCTGGCCGCTCAACGTGGGCAGTGACTTTAGTCAAAGGAAATCTATGGCATCAGGGGGGAAAATGAGAAGCATTCAGCCTCTTCCTGTTGCTGGGGCATCCCTGAATACCGAAGAATAGAGTGATGAGTTAAACATCGTACCTGTCGACTGGATCTAGCAGAAATTCAAGCCCGTTCTACACTTCTTCCACGCAGATCGCTGCACTTCCTTCCGCCGCCATTCCTTCACCTCCCGCCGTCTTCGCTTCGTAGGGTTGGGGGAATTGCTCATTTTTGCAAAGAAGGGACACCGCGATGTCTCCAGCTGCCCCACACCTGTCCTACGTGGACATCATTTACTGCAGCGATGACGACGGCTTTTTGCATCAGACGGCGGCCTTACGTGTCTGCTCGGGGAACAAGATTTTTCTAACGGACCTGAGCCACGAACCGGCTCATCGACGTAACCGCACGTTTCCACAACGTGCCCGTGGGCTGGCGTACACAACTGTTCATGACCGTATTCAGCCGGCCGATAACATTTTACTTGGTCCGTATTGTTTGACATGGGTCCATTAGCGCGCATCCCAAGTCGTGAACCAACGAACAGGATAAAGTGTTCAGATGCCGCTATAACCAGCAATGCCGCTCTCATATATAGCTCCTTTTTTAGTATAATGACTATATATAGCTCCTTGTTATATAGGATAGGAGAAATATATGTAGATCACATCTTATATGTGCCCGGTCGTTTTTTTTTAATCTGCAACTTGTTTTTTTTTTTTTGCAGGAAAAAAAATCTGCAACTTGTTATAACAACACGGAGTTGAACATAGGCGACCGACCCAAAAGAGTAGATACAGATCCCGTCAATTTGCAGTATCTTTTGGACGTGCATGTCATGTGGATTTATAGCAACACGGAGTTGAACATCAGCGACTGACCCAACGAAGCTGATCATTCTCAGTTCTCTTTTGGACGGCAACGTGTATCTTAGTCAACCTGAAAGACCAAGTTACTAGTCTGAATATTTACATGGAAACACCTACCGAAATTTACTTTATTTAGAGAGAGAGAGAGAGAGAGAGAGAGAGAGAGAGAGAGAGAGAGAGAGAGAGATGTTCACAACAACCAACTAACCCGCAAAAAAACAAAAAACTTGCGTACCTACCACATGATTTGCACGTTCCTGTCCAAAAGAGAACTGAGAATAGGACAATGCCGCGTATGTAAGCATACGTACTCATATCAATGTGAGATTGATGACATGAGAAGAATCTCACATAAGATGAGCACGTAGAAATTTAATAGTACTGCTATATTTATCGTTGCTAGAACCAGAAAGGACACGGAAGTAACATCATGAAAGAAGAGAAGACTAGTTAGTACTTCTGTCACACATCATTTGACCTTGGCCTTGTCTTTTCATAACAGAAACAAAAGGGGTTTTGAATAGTACTCCCTCCGTTTCATAATACTTTTCTCTATATACATGGTCAAAGTTGGCAAAGTTTGACTTTTACAAAAATCTATAGGCACTACATTATGGAATGGAGGGAGTAGCAGATACATACCTCCATCGAATTGTGTAGTAGTATGGGCTGAGATGCTCTGTGCCTATGCATGATACATCCCATCCATCGAGAACAATATTCATTTTTTTAAAGCTATTACCGCCTTATTAAAATATAAGACATTTTTTAGGTTACGTACGAGTACTTTGTAACTGATTAGCAGTAGTTTTCTTGCGAGGCAGTTGAGAATATGATTTTTTTTCTCTCTCCCCTGCTGACTAATCAATTAAGCTCTAGATAACTATTACCATGGCTGCCATGCCGTGCACATCTCGCCCAGCGCGTTGGCGTCGTCGGCCGTTGACGGCCGCGTTGCCGATGGAGCTTCATTATTCGTCATGTCCATCAATCCACGTGCTGTCATAAACATCTGGCCCTTGGATATAGAACATGATTTCTTGGTGCTTAATGAATTGACGCAAGGACCGCACGTCAGGCGTGGCGAGCAATCCTCAAATCATTCGAATTTGAATGAATTGACGCAAGGAATTGAGGTCCACGCATGCGCCACGTTTACTAATGATCGATGTTAAACTTCTTCGGAAGGGACTTGTACGCGTAGGAAACACCCATATAGTACTTAATTTCACATATGCATGTGCGCTGCACAAAAATGACGCGGAAACTAATGAAGGCGTCGTTGCTGACACACCATCTCCATCGATGCCAACATGCTGCCTTCCGTTCGCACGCGTATGTATATATACCCCGCCACACGCGCCATGTTATCACCAACTGCTTTCAAGGCATACAAATGAAGTTAATTACCAGCTCCCAATCAGCTAGCCAGCAGATCATCTAGTGAAAAGGAAGCAAGATCGATGAATAGTCACTCGATCATGGCGGTGCCGTCGGTGTTCGCCGCCTTCGACGAGGACGGCGACGGCAAGGTGTCCGCCTCCGAGCTGCGGCGCTGCATGGAGGCCACGCTGGGCGACGGCGTGTCCGAGAAGGAGGCGGCCGCGGTCCTCGCGGCGGTGGACGCGGACGGCGATGGGCTGCTAAACCAAGAAGAGTTCTCGAGGCTGACAGCCGGCGCCGGCATCCATGAAGAGGAGGACGATGCAGACCCGAAGCGAAGGTGCCTGAGGGAGGCGTTCGGGATGTACGCGTCGTCGCCCACGGAAGACACGATTACGCCGGCGAGCCTGAGGCGGACGCTGAGCAGGCTGGGGTCGCACGAGCTGGGCGTGGAGGAGTGCCAGGCAATGATCTGCAGGTTCGACCTCGATGGCGATGGCAAACTCTCGTTCGACGAGTTCCGGGTCATGATGATGGCATGATCATCGACTCGATCTCTTCTTCGCATTCTTCTAGATCACATAGAATGTTCACTTAATTCATTTATCGATCACATATGTATGTACAGTCATGTGTTCATTCATTCATTGTTTTGGTCGCACAAATGCATGATGGCTTGTATGTCAGGTTATTGGGGAAGTTGTGGCTTTAGTTCAAATGTGGGTTGACTGTTTTCAGTTGTCCAACTGAAAGGATGGTTATATTTGCAGTCTTGTGCAACACTTGAGGATCTTATTGTGACGAGTGAGGACTTCCGGAGGTTTCGAGCCGGAGGCAAATTTGCATCGCATCAATTAAGCTTATAAGAATTGTCAGATACTGTGGGGAAAGCAATTCGGCCTGTCCTCGACTGCTGTAACTGAATACTGTTCTGTTTCATTTCGTTTGAAATGGATCAGTGCCCTTTTCATCTATATATAGAACTGCTAGATATAATTAAACCCAAGCGTAAACATGTGAATAGTTTGGGCTGAAATTGAAGTTCTAGTTCAGTTTTTACATTGGTTTGTTTTGGATTAGTCTGAGGCCAACTCCAATGCACCGACGCATTTGGTCCACGCGTGTCCGTTTGGACCGAAACGGACAAAAACGCCGGCCCAACGCACCTATGCAAACAGACCGGCGTTCGTTTTTCTGTCTACCGCAACACATTTCCCAAACGCGTCGGAGTGAACACGGCGCGGATGAGCGCGATGCCCTCCCTTGTTCTCCTCATGGCCCGCCCGGTGGCAGCACATCGAACATTCTTTCCCTCCCCCTCCACACTCGACTCCCCCACCATCGTCGCCGCCTCCCACTCCGGACCACTTGGACACCACCTAGGCCGCCGCC